TTTTGGTTAGCATACTACGTGCCCTCTGTGATCTGGCTCCCATCTACTTCTCCAGGCTTTCATTACTGTCTACATCACTTTATTTTTTAAGATTTTATTTATTTATTTGAGAGAGAGCGCACATGAGTGTGGGGGAGGGGCGGAGAAAGTGGGAGCAGAAGACTCCCCACTGAACAGGGAGCCTGATGACCGGTGACTGACTGAGCCACCCAGGCGCCCCTGTCCACATCACTTTAAACTTTGCCAACACCAAAATGCTTGTAGCTTTACACACATACCACCTTGCTTCTCTTCTCTGTGCCTCTGCTCATGTTGTTCCTTCTGCCTGGAAGGTCATTCTCCTTACCCCTCTTTCATCTGGCTCACTCCCTCTCATCCTGAAGACTTAACCCAGGTCTTACTTCCTCCAGAAAATGCTTCCTAATTCAGGTTAGTTTAGGAAAGCCCTCCCTCCTCAGTGTTTCTATCATGTATTGTGCCTAGCTCTAGCACTGTACTGCCACAGTTCCATAATTATGTCAGTGTCTGTCAGCATTTCCCCCTTGCCAAACTTTTTTCTACCTAACAAAACCCTAATTTTGTTTAGGTTATCTCTTCCTCCAGTCTTCAGAGGAAGCTACCCTCTCTAGCTAGCTCAAGGGGTGGATACTGATTAGATTAAGTCAATTCCCCGAAAACCTGTTATTGATTTAGGATGGACACAGATCTAAGTTGTCCCAATCATACTATAGAGGAAGGACTTATATTCCATAATTGGGCAAATGGTTCTCTCTTGCACTCTTCTGCTGAGTGTTACTAAAGGAAGCAGGTATTCCTAATTTCTTCTGACAGTCTTATAATCAGGATGGAAATAAGCCTTATCATGAAACAGCTCTGTAAATGGAGGCGCTAAGAGACAGAAAGAACCAGGGTACTTGATGACTAATAGAATTTTTTAATCGGGGCACCTGGGTGGCTCAGTCGTTAAGCGTCTGCCTTCGGCTCAGGTCATGATCCCAGAGTCCTGGGATCGAGCCCCGCATCGGGCTCCCTGCTCAGCTGGGAGTCTGCTTCTCCCTCTCCCTCTCCCCCTGCTTGTGTTCCCTCTTTCGCTGTGTCTCTCTCTGTCAGGTAAATAAATAAAAATTAAAAAAAAAAAAAAAGAATTTTTTAATCAACCAACCTTGGATGTTCTGTCATGGGAGATAATTTATTGTTTAAATGATTTTTAATCAAATTTCTACTGCTTACAGTCAAAAGTACCTAAATGAGGTACGTTGCAGGTACTGAATTACTAGACAATTCCCAATACTAAATGAAACACAAAGAAGTAATAATTCTAGCACTTTGACCTAGTAATGCTTTGCTGAAATGGTCCTTGAAAGAAAGGAAACATTCAAATACTTAATCAGAGAAGACAGATAAGTAATGCCAAGAAAAGAATACAGATTGAACAAAGGCACTGAGGTAGAAATGGGTGTAGTGATTTCAGAGGTAGTGAGTCGAGTGGAGGAGTCTCACTAGAGTAGATGGTTTATAAGGAAAATATAGGTAAATTCATAACGTGAAAACCTTCAATTATTTTTCTCCAGTTATTTTTTTAAAAGGTGCATAATTTGGTTTCAACTTTATCAGTGGTATTTTCTTTTTTAGGCCATTATTCATGGGTAGATGGCTAATTTTTTACCTACTTATATATCTTAAATATTTCATTTTAAAAAGTGGGATATAATTCCAATGAAAGGCAGTATTTTGGCAAAAAAGTTCATGACTATTTCCATTTATAATTGTCAAAAAGTATCTTGAGGGGCGCCTGGGTGGCTCAGTTGGTTGGGCGACTGCCTTCGGCTCAGGTCGTGATCCTGGAGTCCCGGGATCGAGTCCCGCATCGGGCTCCCTGCTCGGCGGGGAGTCTGCTTCTCCCTCGGACCCTCCCCCCTCTCATGTACTCTCTTTCTCATTCTCTCTCTTTCAAATAAATAAATAAAATCTTTAAAAAAAAAAAAAGTATCTTGATAAAAATTACTTTTGCCCTCTAACATTAAACCATTTTACTAGTGAAAACAATTCCCCATTCAAAATAAAGTATTACATGAATGTGAATTCTGTAAAATGCTAATACCTCAGAAATGTAAAGATCAGCTTGTTTTAGTAACTCTCCAATAATTAGAACATTGGAAGTAGTACCATCTCCTGTAATGTCATCCTGGGCTGTTGCTACTTTTGCTATCAGGGAAGCTGTTGGGTGTTGAATTTGCTGGAAAAAGTAAGCAACAGATTAAAAGAGAGAATGAGATTTAAAAAAAAAAAAAATAGTCCAATGAAAACAAGATAACCTAAGGGCCAATAGTAAAATTAAAAAATGAACTTCATTCTACAAGTTCACAAATTCTTATTATCAATACTTAATGTCAATACCAAATTTTTTAAATTGAGAACTAATGAGGTTTGAACATTTTTAAGAGTCTTTGCTTTGGAATGCAATGACATTTCCAAAATAAGATCAAATCCTTTCATCTCTAAGATGAATATACTTATTAAAATTGCAAAGGATTTTTTTTTTATATTTTCATATTACAAAGAACACAATTCAGTGTCTTTAAAAGATGTAACTAATTTGGAAGTATGTCTAAGCTGTTACTTGGACTGTACAAAGATTTGAAAACAATCAAAATCATCTTTTATTAAGGTCTAACCCAACAAGTATTACTCATGACTGCAGTATTTAACTGACAGCCTTGGTTTAAAGATATACAATCTGTACTATGTTCTAGGCTTATTAAGATTTATTAAAGTCAGCAGCATCAGCTCACCATCTCATGGAGTAGTACACTTCCATCTTTGGTAAGTTTGATGTCACCTGCACCAGAAACAAGCCTGTTCACAAAACAGTGATGTATTAACCTCATATGGCAAGAGTCAAGCAAGACATTCTCAGTTCTTGCCACTCACTATCCTTGATATAAAGAACTGAGCTTCAAAACTTCCAAGTGCCATGGGGCAATACCATGGTAATCACCACCATGTGCAGCCTGAAGAATCACTTCTCCCCATATGGACTATGGTGATTTCATTCCAAATGGAGCATTTACAAGCTTAAGAGAAACTGGTGAGTAAAAAATAAATTAATTAATTAATTAAATAAATTAAATAAATTAAATAAATTAAAAAAAAGAGAAACTGGTGAGTTTTGAACAGAAGTTTGGTCAAAGAAGGATGCTTGGAAGTCTCAAACCACAGAATATAAAGTTCCTGCAGGCCTTTTATTTTGATAGAATGTACCATTCATTCACTCAACTTAGTTTCTTCCCTCATCCCTCACATCAAGTTCTGTTAACTCCACAACCTAAGTATTTCTTCAATATACCCCCTGCTCTCCATGTCCACTGTCCTTGACATCTCTAGCCTGGACTACTTAGACAGCATCCTGGTATCTCTGAATTTGAATCTACCCCTCACACTACATTTCTTGCTTTCTTTCTTTCTTTCTTTCTAAGATTTTATTTATTTGACAGAGAGAGACAGCGAGAGAGGGAACACAAGCAGGGGGAGTGGGAGAGGGAGAAGCAGGCTTCCTGCTGAGCAGAGAGCCCAATGTGGGGCTCGATCCCAGCACCCCAGGATCATGACCTGAGCCGAAGGCAGAGGCTTAACCACAGAGCCACTCAGGCACCCCTATATTTATTTCTAAAAAGTAATGTGACTCAGTCAGCTCCCTGATCAAAAATCTTTCGACGAGTTTTATGTTCTCCATCACTTTCAAGGTAAAATCCGCACTATTTAGCAATGTAGTAGTTTACCTTTCCCAATCTGGCTTATGTCTATTTGCCCTGTGGCATCTACCAAATGAGATCTTGTGGGAAAATCTTGTGGTTCCCTTAATACATCATGTTTGTTTTCATTTCAGTTGGATTTACACCACTGGGCTTTCCTGTTCCTGAAGTTACTAGAGGGCCTTTACTCCCTTCTCCAACTGGTGAACTCTAACTTATCTTTCAAGACTCTGATCAAAAATCTGTTATCTGAGAGGCTTCTCCTTCTCCCTACTCCCATCAGTAATTAGTCCCTTTCCTCAATATAATGATTATATATAAATATAGATATATATAACCTTCATTTCTGTGTTCCCAGCATCCAGTTGGTACACAAGCGCCCTCTTACCGTTAATTTTAATTCTGCTCGTTCCTCTTAGAATGTATTTCTCCTCTTACACATTTTAGCCCTCTTTTCCTCACTCTTCTAAAGAAAATAGTGAAGCTAAGTAAATATATGCTGAAAGGGTGAATAGATAGGAAGAAGTGCAGACACAGAGCGTTCAAGTAACTCGCCTAAGACGCAACGCTAGAAGGTAACTTGGATTTGAACCCATGCCTGCCGGGCTCCAAGGCATGTGTGCCCTTACCATTACAGCACACTGCCAAACAAAACCCAAACTATGGGCATACAGTCTCAAAGCGCAGGGGAGTTAAATGGCTTATGCTTGTAAAGAGACACCAGGTGAACTGTTGCTACTGCACACGAACGTTAATCAAAGTGGGGCAGAGGGGGTGTCACAGCTTCACTCGGGGCCCTTTCCTCGGAAGGCTGCCCTCCCGCCCCTGGCCAGGGGTGACCTCCGGGCAGGAATGAGAACGAGGGTATCCCGTCGCTCCAGGCATTTCGCGGAACGTCTTTCTCAGAGCGCGCCACGACACCCAACAAACCCCGGGCCATAACCGCCTCTCCAACCGCCGGGCCATCTCACATTTTCATGGTGCCCTTAGGCCCCAAGTTGGTACGCAGCACATCCTGCAGCCCTCGGGCGGCGCATATATTGACAGCCAAGGCCGCCAGGGCCCGCGCCACCTCAGCCTTGGAGTTTACCGCCTTGATCGCGGCCATAGCACCGCTGAGCGTGCGACCCGGCAGGCAAAAACAGCCTCAGCCGGGATCTCGAGAGAAATCCCGGCGCCACCGCCCGCCTTCCGGAGCCTCAGCCAATCCTCGCCGAGACAGGAAATGACGTTACCAGGCCTCGCCCGCACGGAAGCCAGAATCACCTTGGGTTCGGGCGCCGAGATGGCGTCCTCCGCCTCCGCTCGCACTCCGGCAGGGAAGCGAGTGGTGAATCAGGACGAACTGCGGCGGTTGATGAAGGAGAAGCAGCGTCTGAGCACCAATCGGAAACGGATAGAATCTCCATTTGCGAAGTACAACCGTTTGGGGCAGCTGAGCTGTGCCCTGTGTAACACCCCGGTGAAGAGCGAGCTCCTGTGGCAGACTCACGTCCTGGGAAAGCAGCACCGTGAGAAAGTGGCCGAGCTAAAGGGCGCGAAGGAAGCCACCCAGAGTCCGTCCTCCAACGCAGTGCCTCAGTCAGCCAAGAGGAAGGCGCCGGATGCGGATGGCCAGGATGCCAAAAGACCCAAGGCCTCTCCGCTGCCGCAGGTACAGCCCTCCACATCCGCTTTGCCCACCAACTTTGACAGAGCAGGGAAGGAGTCCGCCAGAGCGACTCTCAGTAAGGCTTCGGGACTCGGTTTACTCCCTGATTATGAAGATGAGGAAGAGGAGGAGGAGGAGGAAGAGGGAAGAGAAGGGAAAAGAGGGGACACTAGCAAGCAGCCGCCCGACGCACAGGGCAAGGAACACTCGCTTTCCTCCTCGAGAGAGGCAACAAGTGGTATGCTGCCAAGCGGTTTCTCAGATACAAATCCTCCCAAGGCCCCTTTAATTCCTCATTCAGGGTCAATTGAGAAAGCAGAAATACATGAAAAAGTCGTGGAAAGGAGAGAAAACACAGCGGAGGCATTACCGGAAGGCTTTTTTGACGACCCTGAGATAGATGCTCGGGTACGAAAGGTTGATGCCCCAAAGGATCAGATGGACAAAGAGTGGGACGAATTTCAAAAGGCCATGAGACAGGTCAATACCATTTCCGAAGCCATAGTTGCCGAAGAGGATGAGGAGGGACGGTTGGACAGGCAAATTGGGGAAATCGATGAGCAGATAGAATGTTACCGTCGGGTGGAAAAGCTTCGGAATCGTCAGGATGAAATAAAACATAAGCTTAAAGAGGTTCTGACTATAAAAGAACTTCAGAAAAAGGAAGAGGAGAATGTTGACAGCGATGATGAGGGAGAACTACAAGATTTGTTGTCTCAGGATTGGAGGGTAAAAGGGGCTTTGTTATAGGGTTTCAAAGACCCGAGATTTTCATACCCTCTACAATGGTACCAAAAGTGCTGTCTCTGGATAGGATACTGGTTACTTCATGCCCTGATCTTTGATAACCTAACTGGGTTGTTGAGATACTATGAGCCTGTGAAGATAGCACTTTTGAAAATTGGTGTAAAATGTTTTTGAGGTAAAGTTGTTTTTGAAATTTTTGAACTATTACATACGAAAATGTCAACTTTTTCACACATTTACTTAAGTGTATAATTTTGAATTGTCAAATCTGTAAGCTGTAAATATTATATATAGTTAAATATATATTTACTTAAGTAATTCTGTTTTGAAATTTATAAATAAGTAGAAGTCAAGCCAACAGACAAGCTTTTAGACGAAAACCAAGTGTGGTATTTGGGATATATGTGACTTTTTCTTTTCTAATCCCCTAAATCAACTCAAGAGTGTTTTGCAGGAAGGTGGGGGACAGGGGTTGTTTTTAAATACTATTCATAAACACATAAGTCATTCAGGGCAAATCAGTTCTCTGAGTATTCTGTTTCTGTTTTAAAAACATGCACTAGGAGCACATGGTGATATATCCCAAATATTTCTCTTGATTAAACCAGTGATTCTTGGATGTAGGTGCACATGGAAAGCACCAGGCTTTTGAAAAGGTGCATACGAATCACTTTGAAGCCTTTCAAAAACTCGTGTGCCCAAGGCCTACCATTAGAGATTAAATAAATCGGGAGCGGGGCCCAGGCATCAGTTTAGTTTTGAAAGCTTCCCAGGTTATTCTGATACATGCCAAAGTTGGAGAGCTATGTGGCCCTAAATCCAGAACCCATTTATGTTTTTTCAGGCTTTGTTTTTTTCAAATACCATGTTCCATAAGTTTACTGTCTATTGTATAAAAGAAATACTACTTTATATTTAGATTTCATCCAGTCTTAAATTTTATTACATTTCATAGTAAATTAGGGTTCAGAGTTTCTGTCCATTGTTGGGAGGATAAGTTGTTTTCTCAAGGAGTAACAATTAGCTTGTTCCAGTCATTGATTGTTTAAATCATTCCTTTTCCCTTTAGCGATAGAGGTATTCAAATGAAAATGGAATTAGCAGTGTTCCAGGGGCAAAAATGCATACAGCATCCTCAAATGAAAGTGAGTGGTAATAATAATAGCTAAAACATAAAGCTTTTACAATATATGACAGATGTGGTTCTAACTGCTTTACATAAACCAAGTCTAGTTGCTCTAAAGCCCAGGTTTTATGGAGAATAGTACCAAGAGATAAGGTATGAAAAAGCCTCACTTGGATGCTAGATGAAAGAATTCTCTCTGTCAGCAATGTAGGAAAGTGGAAGTTTTTGAGCAAGAAATTATATTTGCAAAAAAATTATGGAAGATGATTTTAGTTGCAGTATATAAAATGGAATGAATGTGGATGGGGAGAAAGAAGCTGGGAGACTACTTGGAAACTAGATTTTAAAAGCTAGGTGAGCAAGACTTTGATTAGTTATGGACTGAGAGTAAAGGAATAAAGTTGAAACATTTTAACAGGAAGGGCTAATATTTTAGTGACTAGAGGTAGAAGAAAAACAGGAGGGATAAAGATGAAATTGAAGGGCTTGGGGGTTTTTAGTGTAGGTCCCTGAAAAAGTTATCTAACACTTACTGAGCATATTAACTATCTTGCTGTCTTTGGCAGAAAGTCTGTTTTCTTGAGCTGTCAGTATGATAACAGAGGGCATGCCTGCCTTAAATGTATAAACCCACATGTACTCAGAGTTTTCTATCATCCATCACTTTATTATTTTAAAATGAGAGAATACAAAGGTGGGCTTGAGTAGTAGGCCCTGTCATACCTTGACTTAAGAGGCTAGGCTGATGATTTTGCAGAGCACTGTCCATTAAAAAAAAAATGCAAGCCACATACATATTTTCAATTTCCTAGAAGCCACATGAAAAAGTAAAAAGAAATAAGAAATTAGTTTTAATGTAATTTATTTTATCCAATATATCCAAAATATTCACTTTTCAATACATAATCAATATTTAAATATCATTAATGAAGTATTTTACACTTAGGGGGTTCTAGATTTCTGAAATCTGGGTGTATCTGACTTAGCACATCTCAATTTGGACTGGCTACAGTTCAAGTACTAGCCATATGTGGCTAACAATAAAGGACAGTGCAGACTTAAAGAGAAAGTTGTGCAGGAGTAAAAACAAAACATGCACAGGAGATAGACCAGTTTAGAGTGGAATGTTCATTCCTGACAACAGTGGAAGTTATGATTAGAAAGGTAGAGTATGAACCGTTACGGAAGATCTTGAACGCCATGCTCGAAGGAGTTGGAACTTTAAATTAACAATTGAATATCCTTGAGGTTCTTGAGTCCTGAATTATAACAGTTAAAGAGTTTAAGGAATGCCATTACTATACATACAAACAGCAGTGGGTTTTTAGGAGGGACAGAAAGCTCTGTTCCCCATGCTCTGTATTCCGGAGAATGAATGGTGGGGCCCTGAGCAAAATCAAGGAAATCCTGGTTGGATCTTCGATCAATGTAAAAAGCTACAAAGAGCTGTGAATTGTGCAAGACTGTTGAATCTCAGATCTGTACCTCTGAAACAAATAATGCAATATATGTTAAGAAAAAAAAAAGAAGAAGAAGAAGGTAGCGGGAGGGGAAGAATGAAGCAGGGGAAATCGGAGGGGTAGACGAACCATGAGAGACGATGGACTCTGAAAAACAAACTGAGGGTTCTAGAGGGGAGGGGGGTGGGAGGATGGGTTAGCCTGGTGGTGGGTATTGAGGAGGGCACATTCTGCATGGAGCACTGGGTGTTATGCACAAACAATGAATCATGGAACACTTCATCTAAAACTAATGATGTAATGTATGGGGATTAACATAAGAATAAAAAATTAAAAAAAAAAAAAAAGCTACAGGGATTAGTGGATCCTTCCTGATCCTCCACACATTGGAGAGCTCCTTTATACGTCTTTGAGCTGGGTCAAATAGGTTTTGGCATTAGACTTCAAACCCACCAACGTTCCCAAATTGTAAGACTTAGTCCCATGGATTTCTTCGAGTCACTTTTCTCTTTTTAGAGAACCCCTTCATTTAGCCAACAATTTATTAGAGTTACGTAAATGCTACAAAGGTAATCCTCTCACCAATTCACTTACCAATTTAATGTAGTTCCCCTAACTGGAGGGGAAAAAAACCTGAACTAACTAGCCTTGAAATGTAAATTTGCCCAGTGGCTTACAACTTGGAAAATGCTCTCCCATTTGTATTTCGTTTAATGATGAAAGTAATGACTACTTTTTATACACCAGGAAACGAGGCTGTGGAATTAAAATTCCAGGAGAAAAATTAATTTAGTAGTAACGATCACTAGGTTAGTATGGAGCAATAGGAAGAACAGGGGAATTGGCAAGAGAAAACAAGACACAGGTTCAAGTTCCCACTCTACATTTTAAGGGTTAGTGATCTTGGGCAAGTCACATCTCCAAACCTTAGTGCACCCTACTACCAAGTGATGATAATGGGGGGGCGCCTGGGTGGCTCAGTTGGTTAGATGTCTGCCTTCGGCTCAGGTCATGATCTCAGGGTCCTAGGATCAAGTCCCGCATTGGGCTCCCTGTTCTGCGGGCAGTCTGCTTCTCCTTTTCACTCTCTCTGTGCTCTCCCTCTCTCTCTCTCTCAAATAAATAAAATCTTTAAAAAAAAAAAAGATACCTCAGGTCACATGACGTGTGAAAGGGGTTTATAAACTGAAAGGCAATACAAGTACGTCTATTACAGATGGTCCCCCACTTAAAATGGTTCTACTTCAGGCGCCTGGGTGGCTCAGTCGTTAAGCGTCTGCCTTCGGCTCAGGTTATGGTCCCAGGGTCCTGGGATCGAGTCCCACATCAGGCTCCCTGCTCCACGGGAAGCCTGCTTCTCCCTCTCCCACTCCCCCTGCTTCTGTTCCTGCTCTCGCTATCTCTCTCTCTGTCAAATAAATAAATAAAATCTTTAAAAAAAAATTATACAAAAAAATGGTTCTACTTCACGATTTTTCAACTTTACAATCGTGCGAAAGTGATACACATTCGGTAAAAACCGTACTTCAAATTTTGGATTCTGAATTTGAATCTTTTCCTGGGCTAGCAGGGGGCGGTACGACAGTCTCCCATGATGCTGGGCAGCGGCAGTGGGCCACGGCTCCCAGGCAGCCATGTGATCACAAGATACACCGACAGCCCCTGTGTACCCACACAACTATTCTGTTCTGCAGTTTGAGTGAAGTAGTCAGTAAATCACATGGGACATTCAACACTCTTATTATAAAGTAGGCTTTGTGTTCAATTTTGCCCGAGTGTAGGCTGATAGAAGTGTTCAGAGCACGTTTAAGGTAGGCTAGGCTAAGCTGTGATGTTTGGTGGGTTGGCTATGTTAGATGCATTTTCAACTTATGATTGGTTCATCGGGACTTACCATGGGATTACATCCCAATAAACCCATCGTAAATTGAGGAAGATAGCTTAGTCTTCCCCTGCCGCATGCTAACTTGATTTTAGTCTAATAATTTAATGCCCCTTAATTCCCTCTTTGAAACTAAGGTAATTAGAGCAGGTGATTTTCTTGAGATTTCTTTTAACTCCCAAATTTTTAATTTCGCCGAGACAAGTGGCATCTCACCTTTTAAACATTTTTAAAGTCGTTCAATTGACCATCTGGAGACAGATGGCTAAAGTATTGTTGCTTTTACTTATAAGATTTGCCCAGCTTAAGTCCCATTTGTCTTGGTGTAATTATGAATAGTGCCCTGCCCCTTCACTCTCAACATTCCTTTTCTGGAGGTATAGATACTCACCTAAAATTTTGATAGGAAGAAAAACCACTTTCTAATGAACAGGGAGTCAAGGTCTTAATGGAAATAGTATGTTTCCTGTTAATGATGCACTAATTGGCTGGCTACTTGGCTGGATGTTTGTGTAGGGGGATTTGAGTAAGTATATGGGTAGGAATGGTGGCTAGATAGATCATTTTAGATTGCTTTTTAATCCTAAGAATCTAGTAGCCTGTATAATATCAGGAATTACTTGAGAAGCTTTAAATTTGGGGCGCCTGGGTGGCTCAGTCGTTAAGCATCTGCCTTCGGCTCAGGTCATGATCCCAGGGTCCTGGGATCCAGCCCATCGGGCTCCCTGCTCAGCGGGAAGCCTGCTTCTCCCTCTCCCACTCGCCCTGCTGTGTTCCCTCTCTCGCTGTCTGTCTCTGTCAAATAAATAAATAAAATCTTAAAAAAAAAAAAAAAAGCTTTAAATTTGAACAGGGAAAAAAATCCCAAAACTCTGCATTCTATGTTCTTTTTCTTTTTTTTTTCTGCATTCTATTTCCTATCTACAGTTTCTCCCTCAGTGATCTCATCCATTCCTGTGGGTTTAAATATCACCTTTACACTGGTGACTCCCAGTTTATATCCCTAGCCTTGACCCTTCTTCTGAGAGTCATCCTTCATTCCCCTTTATTCCCCCAAATCTAATGCATTAGCCAAGTCCTGGCAGCTCTCCCTCTAAAATATGCCCAGAATCTCTCTCCTACTTTGTCTCCACCTGTCCTAGCCACCATCTCTTGCGTTAGTGTGCAAGAGCACCTGTTCTCATGTGCACACCCTAGCCACGGTCAGTTAACAAGTAGAGTGATGTTTTAAAAATGTAGGTCATGTCACTGTCACTGTCACTGAAAACCCTTCGTCATATGCTTCCATCACACTTGGGGAAAAAAAAAATCCAGGCCCTTATTAAGCTCACATGGTGCTCAGCATTTGCTGATTCAAATGTCTACTACTTGTGAGCTAATGACCGACCCCAAACCCTGCTTAAGTGGGGTGGATAGGGCAGGATAGCAAACTGCTCTATGTTGAAATCAATTTTCATCATTCAGTAGCGGCCTGGCATGGCCAAGTCTTCTTAATTATCAAGAGGCATGACAAGATTGTTTTTGTTTTTAGTGAAATCTCAAAAACACCATGTGGGCTGAATGTGATCC